TATCTTCTGGTTTCCATACCCCTCCCCTCTCTTTCCTGCCCTCATCCTCACCCCCTTGACCCTCCCCCCTTCCCTCCATTTCCTATCTCTTGCCCTCTTCCTCGCTTCCTTGCTTTAAAAAAATATTTCTCTGGTTTGTTCTCGAAAATATTGGAGTCGAGCCAAGTTGGGCAATTGTAATCTTTATTTTTCAGATGATGGTAGGAAAATAGTTATTGTGGGTTGCTAAAAATAGTAGACCCTGAGGGTGATCTTAAACTGGTTTTAAAATGGTTCAACTTTTCTATATTGTTTCGTTGTCCTTGGCCTTGTAGGCGTTACTTTTGTGATGGGATAGGTAAAATCGTTTTTTTTCACACACTGTGCGACTTTTTAAACCGTGAAGGTGCAATTTCATCTATGGGTGGTAGTGACGAATTGTTTGGATTTTTTTTTTTTTTTTGAAACTTCGTGTACGAGAAACCTACTTAACGAGGTGATAAGAGAATCCCAGCTACACCTGCTGAAAATCCGGTCCAACGTCCATGTACAGTGATGTGAATGTATCTGTTGGAAACGGGGTCCAGTGTCATATACAAAGATGTGAATGGAACTGCTGGAAATTGGGTCTAACGTTTCTATGCAGAGATGTATTAGTATATCCAACTACCTATGCATGCAGGTTTAAGTAATCTATGTCTGATGGACCTATCATGTCCTACAGTTAGACACTGTACAATCTGTCTGTCTTATCTGTTGGAAGCAATTTATGTCTGATGGACCTATCATGTCCTACAGTCCGACACTGTCCAATTTGTTTGTCTTATCTGTTGGAAATCGGGTCCAACGTCCTTGTACGATGCTGTGAATGGATCTACTGGAAATCGGGTCCAGTGGCCCTATGCAGAGATGTATTGATGTCTCAAACTACGTATGCATGCACGTTAAGCAATCTATGTCAAATATTCATTTCCCCTGAAGGGAAAACCCTATCCCCTATCCCCAACATAGGATCATAGTAAGCGGGGCATGAAGCCCAATTCTGTAAAACAGTCCAAAAATCAAACCCTAACACCGATATGAAGTGAAGCCCTAGAGTTGATGTACTGCATGTAAGCTGGAATCCGAATCCGGCATCTCTAAAGTACCATATTTGCACTTGGCTCACCTGTATCACCAAAAGAAGCAKAGACATTGATTACTTCCAACCAAGGGGAAGGATTAACCTCCTGCTTGTAAATCTTATATCCTCTATACAATGACGTATATGCCTATTATTTTGCACGTATGCTCACCAACAATAGCAAAGGTAATCATCAACAGTGCTTTCATAATTAAGAGTTGAGGGTTAGGAAGATGAGAGGCAATCARGGCTAATCATCTAAGAGCGATCCTCTATCCTATCCCCACCCGGCACCAAAAAAGAAGATACGATTCATCATGAGAAACACCGGGTAGGGGTTGGGGAGAACAATAAATCTTACCTTCAACCTCAAACCCCACTTCACCAGCTGCAACAAGCCACTAATTCTCCCCCACTGTATTGATGGAGGCATCTTTCCCATGATGCTGATATGGTTATCGCCGCCACYGTCGTCATAATTGTTGTCGTTTTTGTTGCTATTACTGTTGCCATCGTTGTTGTTGTTGTTGTTGTTGTTATCACCGTCCACCTCCATTATTGTTGTTGTTGATGTTGTTGTTGTTACTCTTGCTGTATTTGCTTCTGCTTTCGTCGTTGCTGTCGCCGTTTCCTGGCCTTGCAGGCATTGTTTCTTTTCATCTCAGGGTTGCCGACATGTCARGACAGAGGTCTGGGTGTCAACCATCTCTGTTCCTAAACAAAGTTCCCAACACCTGTCTGAGTTGGGTTGTGCCCCCAATATATTTTTTTGGATTGTGTTGTTTGAGGGATTCCCGACCTCATTTGCCCCTGAATTTTTGCATAATGATGAAGCCCTCAGGGGCCGGGACCCACTAGCATCGGTTTACGCTTCGGCGGTTTGGTTTTCAACGACGTGCGGCGAGAGGTGACATTCGGCGACCGTTGATCCTTATTTGTATCTTCGGCGCAGGGCGATAAGGACCAATTTCGTGGAGGTATCTGTCCGCCGGCCGATAGAAGAGTTTCGTTTTCATTTTTTAGTCCATTTAGCTAGCCTCTTTGCGTTGGCGCGAAGCTGCAGTACTGGAGTTTCTCAAGGGGGGGGGGCGTTTTTGCAGCTTCGCGCCTTGCTTTTTCTTTTTCGCAGAAATTGATAATATTGAGATTTTCGTGGAAGACTTCGAACAGGTCGGCGCGAAGGTCTCATGCAGATGTACCGGGTTGGTGGAAGTGTGGATGCACTGAAGTTCTGTCATAATGTCGATGTCAGGCCCCGTAAGTTTTCATTTTTTGGGTCRTTTTCTTTGGGCGTCGTTCGACACTCCTCGGGGACGCGATTCCGTCGTCGTTCCACCTGTCCTCGGAGCCAATTTTCGGAACAAAAATGTGAAAACACTCCGAGGACAAATCCTCGGGCTCCGAGAATTTCCCAGCCAAATCGTCCTCGGCTCCAAGGGACCTCGCGAGGTCCCTTGGAGCCCGAGGATCCGCGATTATCGAGGTGTCCGCGGTGAGTCCAGAAGGGAAAATGGTGGTCGAAGGTAGTCCACCGGCTGGAAGACGGACATCGCGAGCCACCGACGTCCAAAACGTCCACCAACGGCCTCGTCTTTTTACCGTTGGCGGGGATTGGCGGTACGGCCCTGTCGGTTCGTCAGGCGGCCCCACGGCGGTGCCGTGGCGAGCATCTGATGTTTTCGGCCGGCTCCTGGAGGGATCGTGTCGTTCCCGCGGGCTACCCAACAGTCGAAAATATAGATTTTTTAAGCGTCCACCCCCAGCCGGTGCTTGCAACAATTTCGTACGTTGGCGTCTTCCCTCACGCAACGTGTGTCTCCGGTCGCCACGATCGCGACAGGGCAAGTGCGTGTCCTATCCTTCATGGCTGACCTGTGCTGCAGGCTGCCTTTGCTGCTGCTTGTCGCTGTGCTGCTGCTTGCCGTTGTCGTCTTTCATATCTGCATCCTCAGTCGCGTCCCTGGGAGGAAACAGACGCGGCGAACGCTGAAGACGGCCACGAAGATGGAGAAGCTACAGACGAAGACCACACTGTCCGTAGGGGCTGGGAGGTCGTCATGTCAGCTTTGCATCACTGCGGAAGGCAGCAGGAGGTCGTACGACCCAACGCTGTACAGCCACTTGCCGTCCCATGAGATTTCGTTGCTTCCGAGTGACGACGACGGCGACGACCCCCGATGATCAACRGTTCCTCTGGGCAGCGGTTCGACGCAGGATTGGATGGGGAGCCAGTTGTACAGACAGGCCTCGACGCCGGTGTACACTGATCTACTGGAGGGGCGGACCCCGGTTGGTTATGACGYAGGGCTTGAAGATCTCAACTTCGGTTTGAGGTCTGGGAGTGGCCAGGACGTCACGCACACTGTTCTCGTGAACCCGGCTTCTGGCACCAACCACACACCGCCTTCAGTGGGGCCGTCGRGCCTTCCGGTCACCCGCGCCCAGTGTTCTGGTTAGTCGGGCGGCGAACGTGGACTCCTTTCGCGAGGGCGGGGGGCAGTGGGCACAGCAGGTGTGGGTGCGTCGAGGACGAGGACAGGTGGATCAACGACGCCAGCCGGCACAATCGACTGACGACGGGATGACGATAAGGGCTCCGCTGCGGAGGTCGTGGGGCGAGAGCTTTGGGATGATTATCGGCGACAATCGCGTCAATCGAGCATGTCCGGCATAACGAGAGGGGTGGCGAAGATTAATGTGGGGGCGGATGATACACTYGGCGATTGCGATGGTGCAAGGGGTGAAGATTGCTCGACAAGCGACGGGAGCAATGACAATGAGGAGGACGACGACGGGGAGATGGAGATTCGTCCGGTAGGGAAGAAACGGGGAGGGCCAAGGGCCACAAACAAGTTCACTGAGCCGCGCACGGGGCGGAGAGGCAAGAAGAGGGCGGGACATACGTCGGCAAGCGAGGGAGCAAAAAACAGGGATTTTTGGACCGTGGAACACATGATTACTCTGATCCGAGCTAAAAGAGACCAGGATTTGCATCTGGCAGGCCTCGGTCACAACATCAGAAGGATGAAGACGAAGACATGGAAGTGGACCGACGTGGAGAAGAGGCTCGTGCAGATGGGGGTGACGAGTAGAAAGGCCGAGGACTGCGGGAAAAAATGGGACAACCTGTACATGCAGTTCAAAATTGTGCACAAGTGCAAGGGAGAATTGGGGAAGCCTGATTTCTTCAGACTATCGTCGTGGGAGAGGAAGGAGGGGGGGTTCGATTTTTGGATGGACGAGCGTGTGTATTCGGAGATGAAGGCCATATCCAGGGGCGATCACACTATACACCCCACGAATCTCGCGGACACGGGTGAGGCTGGAGGTGTTCAATTGCCTGGCCCACGTGGAGGTCAGAACGAATCCGGCGGTAGTGACGGATGCGGGGATGGACAGGACGACGACCAGGGATCGACGAGGGATTCAACGTTCAGCGGCGGTGGTGCTGGCGGGTGTGGCAAACGGAAGAATGTAAGACAACAGACCTTCGACACCATTGCCGACGTCATGAAGGAGCACGGAATCTGATGGCGACGACGGTGGACAGCGCGAGCAGGAGGCAGTGTTGAATTCTGACGAGGCAATGCGACATTCTCGAGCGAGAGCTAGAAGTGCAGAAGGACCACTACGTGAAGGCCGACCAGGCGAACTTCATAATGTGCAACGCCCTTCTGGAGATTGCTAAAGCGATCCGCGAACGATCCTAAACTCGTTGGGCCACACATGTCCGACGTCCACGCGAATGCCACGTGTGCACTTCCGGATCATCGGCGTTGCCGCCGTCCTGCGTGCTGCAGTGAGGTGGTGGGCAGGTTGTGTAGAGACAGCGGGTCGTTTTTGCAAGGGCATTTTTTTTAAGCGTGGATTTGTTTGATGAGTGTGAAGGGTATTGATCGTTGTCATGCYCRTCGGCGCGTCCTTCGGTTTCACATTAGGATGTCCGATTTTCAATATTGTTTAACGCCTGTTGTTGTGAGACGTTGCCACCACGCGTGGATGGCGATCTACCAGGGTCTTTTTTCGGGGGGTGTCGGGAAAGGAATAGGTGGCACGGTGTGTTTTTCAGGCGGGAACGCAGTATCTAGAAAAGGAGGGTCCGGGCGGCAGTCCGTACGGCAGTACTTCATTTCCCACGGCTCCAACGGTAGCGTCTGTGCACTGATTCGTCGCCGCACGCCTGCACTTCCGCTTCGCCTCGGCAAGCACGTGCTCGTTCCTTCAAGTTCTCGCCATCATCGTCGCGGCTCCYAGTCAGTGACCCTTCGGACGCATTGTCCACGTGCTCCTTCGTCCACGTGGCCGTCGTCGACCTCCACGCATCCACCGTCCACGTGCTCATTCGTCGACGTGCTCCTTCGTCCACGTGCTCGTCGTTGCCAAGTTGGGGACGAGATGGCCCCGAGGAACGCCTCAGGGAAGGGCAGGAAAGATAGCGGAGCAGGCGACAGGGGGAAAACCCAGAAAGGCAGAGGCCACGTGCCAAAGTCGAAAAGACAGCGCGTTGATGAGGCGAGCTCCGAACACACTGAAGACTTTCAGCCAGACGAAGTGGTGATGGTGGATGCGTAAGGGACGGCGGGGGCGATGCGATTGGGTTTCGGGCGGAATGGGGTGTCGAGGGAACAACTGTCCGCTCTGAAACAGAGCCTCGTTGTTGGTGCTACCGAGACGTTGCAAAGGACCCCGAAGGTGGCAGGGGTTGTCATGACGGAGGCGCGCGTGTCGAGGCAACTTCCGGCGGTGGTGGGCCAGGGCCAGCCACGTCAGCCACTCCCCCTGCAAGAGGCGGGGGCTTCAGGGGGAGGGAAAACACAGTCCACGCAAAAGGGCGATGCAACAGCGAGCGGCACTCGGACGGCGGCGGCGGATCACAACACTAGAAGCGGACTCACCGAAGGTGCGGCCGAGGAGAGGGTCGACGACATCCGCCGCGACAAAGGAAGAAGACATGGAAAGCGGGACGGCGATGACGACGRYGACCGTCCACTTGTGACGAGGTTGAAGGGAGCGGCAAAGGAGGACGGTCTGGAGGAAAGGTCGAAGTTGTGGGTTGATTGCGACTCTTTCTGGGGTCAGGGCCCAGGGAAACCCTTGAGGGAGGCAGTTGGCGAGTGCGCGGACTACTTCATTGCCATCTCCAACGGAGACGCAGGAGTTGAGCCGCCTGCGACGCTCATAAWGCCGTCGAACGACGTTCCGCGCTTCAAGATCGAGGACCCTGCGCAGCGTGAACCAGCTTTGCGTAGAGCGCGCAGCGTGGAAAAACTGGTGCTGCGCGCCATCCACGGCTGGATCTTCAAATTGTCGTCGAGGTCGGCTGGCTTCGCTCGTGCAGAATCATACATCAGCGTCGATATTGCTACAAACGTCGCACGAGCAGTTTCGCAGGGACACGAATGGTCGAATGTGGTTTCCCCTCCCATCGTCTACCACACGTTGGCGATGAAGATGGACGTGCCTCTGTGGTTCGCGGGGGTGAAGATTGTGGATCGGCCTGAAGACGACGTCATGGCGGCGCGGCAGGAGGCGACAGTTCTTCGCGTCGTGGAGTGCTGGACAGATGCACTGTGGTGTGGACAATGGGCGGATGGCAACCGCATGAAACAGGAGAGGTTGTCTCGGCTTGTGGATTGTCTTCGAGCGTTGTTGAGCKCGTGTATGTGGATCATGCGCATGGGTGGTGACGACGACCGTTYGCACTACGAGGCGTGCTTGTACGCATCCATGGTCGCCAAACCCACAATGATGGCGGCGGGGTCGTACATCTTCAACTGGCGGCGACACATCGTCGACAGCGCCAACCTCGTCTTGGATCGTATAGGGAAGGCTCACCTCACGCTGGGAGATTACCTGCACTGTATTCCAGAATGGTGTGATTGCGGGTTGCTGTTCGGCTACAACGCGGCCCTGAAGAATGCAGCGGAAGCCGCGAAACACGGCTGGGTCGGCAGCGGGCCCGCGGCGGAGGAAGACGGAGATGAGGGCAGTTGACACGTCGGTTCGTCCATAACGCAGCGGCGGGGKGCGGATCGTCGACTGATTGGCGCGTGGGATCACGAAATGACGAACGCAGCGCCTTCGACTGCAGATGGGGCCGCACGGGCGGGATGGGTGTCGGCARGTGTTGGTGGTTGAGCGGGGGGAGCGTGAGGTGGGCGGTCCTGCGCAGCTCCGACGGCGTGTCCACGTCAGCAAACGTCGTGCCGACGTCAGCAGATGTCGTCGTGGTGCATGTGTGGTGAACGATGTTTTTCTTTTTTTTTCTGTTTTTATTTTGTGATTGGAGCGCTCTTTGYACTTTTGCTCCGCAATAGGGTTTCTTGGCTCGGTGGATGACACCGCCAAAATGTAAGTAGATGCAGGAGCAGTCCGTATGTTGTGCGGGACGCTTGAAGGGTCGATAGTCAGGAGCAATGGAAAATCGCCGCCCGAAAATTGCTTTGTTGTTCAATGAATGTTCTCAAATTTATGTTTGTGTTTCGATGGCGTGTGTTTGCATGCTTAAGATTGCGTACGCAGTCATGCTGTTCTTGTTTTCTGTGTGGTTTTATCATGTGACGCACATGTTAATGGCCATCGCATTCTCGTCTAGATCTTTTAATGTATGCGGCCCTTCATTCGATCTTGGGTATCGTGGCATCGTTATCATCGCCGACACCTGAGAAAACAAAATATAAGAAGGAAAAGAGGCAGGGACCTATACACGCACTTTCATTGTCATCTTTTTATGATTGGTGCCCGTGTTTCCGTTCCTGATGCCATCGTGAAATCCTGAAGATCGCGCGCAGCGGAAGGAAGCGAAAAAATACAAAACAAAAATCAAACTATTAAAAGGAAGGTCACCGCGCAGTTGCCGGATAAACACATCTGTCGTGAGTTCTTCTTTCTTTTCTTTGTCGATGCATGTGAGTCGTTAGTGCAACAACGAAGCTTTTCAGAGTGCATTTAACAAACGCAGAGAAGCGCAGACGACATGCACAACAGACATTCCATGTAGTAAAAACAAAAACATGTTCCCTCGAAAGAAGAATAGCAGTCAGACGCACCAAAACGTCCATACACAAACATCATGAAAAACACTCAGTGTTCAAGTTCAAGGAAAAAAACGCTCTAAAGCGCATGCGAAACAGCGGGATGACGAACCTCTTCGTGCCAGCCCTCACCTCTTGCTCTCCTCCTCCCAACGCTTTGGTCACCTACTATATCCATGATGTCAAGCCCCGTGCTTTATTATGCGACAGTCCGTTCTTCACGCATACGTATATGAATCATGATWAGAAGATGGCCGGCATCACGCCGACTTCACAACCATCAACAAGAAAATGATCACGCTTGCCTTAAGTCTGCACACCCATACACTTTTTATGCTTAGTCAACCATTCAGTCATCGTGAACAACAGACACAATCGCGACGCGAACGGTGTACTCATACGGTAAACCAACTTATTTTTTGTCATTTGTAAAACCCATGGCAAGGGTATTCGCACCGACAACATGGTACAACACAAATATGCCAGAGGAACCCTCCCACGTCTGGAAATTTGTCCAAATTTAACCTAATGGGAAACAACTATTTCAAAGTTGGACAGTCTCGGATGATTACTCTCTAAATTAGAAGGAATCAGAAACTCGACCGCCAATGAGCTCTTCCCTTATGCATATCAGAGTGACTGAAAACCTCAACATTAAAGATAGTCCCTCTGGCACAGTCCTTTCTAGAGGAAGACATGTTAGTGATTTGAAACTAGACCCGATTAAATGGGAATGGAGAGTCGCAGGTAAGGCAGGTCAAAGCGTTTGCCTTCTGGACTACACACAGAAAGTGGGGTATGCTTTATATCCGCCTGTCAAATCCCCCTAGATCGCAGCATAAGTCAGATGGCAATGCTGGCTGCCAATTGATCCTCATCTCATCAACTATTAATAAATGCCAACAACAACTTAATCTCATCCCTAACCAGCGCCAAGCCTCAATCCTTTGGATCCTCTCCTTGGTATTCACTCCCTCTGTTGTCTAGTTGGTAGAGCACATATTGAAGATTGATATAACATGCCAACGTTGCCAGTGAGCCTTTGAGTCTACGATCTATCTATGGTGGGATTGCCCGACATTAACCCGGATTTGAAAATGATGGATTGACAAATGGGAGTACATTGCATGGAGTGGGTTTGAGTGGAACAAGCTCTGTACCTTAGTTGGTGGAGTACCGGATGGAATGTCAATCAACAAAGGATTGGGATACATAGCCCAAACGTTGGGAGTTGTGGTATTTGCATCAGTTTGGCATGCCATGAAAGCAAATATTTGAAGACCATGAATGAACAAATAAGCAAATTCGCGCAATGATATTACAGGGGATTCGTCAGACAATAATGGCAGGCTGAAGACGTACGGTGGCCAAATAAAAAAAACAGGCTGAATGGGATACAATTGTTCAGGGAAACTTGGTGTTCCTGACTGTGGAAAACGAGAAGCTGGTGTTGAAAGATTGGTTATTTAAATGGTAAATTGGTAGTTTCGACCTACACGCTCGGTTGCAGGGTCAGTCTTGGTAGACATGCAAAGGTTAAGGGGCAGAGGGAGCATTTAGGCGAATAGCAGAAGTCTCATGCTGAGATTACGACCGATTTAGATGGAAATAGTATATACTTGCAGTAGATAGAAGCTACCTTTAATCTAGTTAAGTAGATGAGGAGGGTGATATCTTCTGGTTTCCATACCCCTCCCCTCTTTTTCCTGCCCTCATCCTCCCCCCC